TTTCTACTTCCTTCCTTATTTTCATGTCTTTGCTATTAACAGCAATCACGCTATATGAAGGAAGACCTACTGTTCAGAACAGGCTGGAGCTGATGCTGAGTTTGGATAGCAGGATGCATCTCAAGCAATCTGCCTAGCTCTTCCAAGATTCCATGCTGTGTAGAATTTATTTTTCTTATCTCATTTTCCATACACCTAAACTACTACCAATGCTCTTGAAGGTAATTAATTCTTGAGTAGTGTCATACAACTTTGTGAACGTATTCTGCCTAGCAACTAATAATGCAAAGATCTTCTATTTTGATTGGTTATCAGTCAGAGCAAATTTACCAATCCCAGAGAGGCCAGAAATTTACCTATATTTTTGGTTGGGTTGTGTGGAGGCAAGAGGTCCACTGTGAACAGCTGGTTTTTTTGTTTGTTTTGTTTATTTTTGTGCCAGTACTGGGTCTGGAACTCGGTGGCCTGGGTGCTATTTGCCCAATGGTAGCCCTCTATCACTTCAGCTGCAGCTCTACTTCCAGCTTGTTGGTGGTTAGTTCAAGATAAGAGTCTCATAGACTTTCCTGCTCAGGCTGGCTTTGAACTGGAATCCTTAGATCTCAGCTTCCTGAGTAGCTCCGATTACAGACCTGAGCCACTACCCAGCTTACTGTTTAATTTTTTTCTTCCCAGAATGGATTCTAGGTGGGTCTGCTGGAGGCTGGCTCTGCTAGTGAATCTGATCTGGATGGGGTCCTCCATGATGGAAGGCAGAGAGACTCCAGGTAAGAACAGAACTCCCCCCCCCGCCCCCCTCCCCCAGCCCTGCTTGTTCAAAATAGTGTTAGCTGGGTGCGGGGAAGGGGGGGGGGATACTTTTTCTGTTGGGCCCAGGCTTCTGGCTTTGAAGAACTGTGTTTTTCCCATTGGTAGAAAACTTGTCTTCTCTCTTCACTGCACACGATGGACTCTCTGGTAAAAGGACATGCTGGACTACAGACCAGACACAGGCTCGGGAACTAGGGAGGAATGATGAGGAATTTTTATCTTGTTAGATTCTTTATTGTATCAATATCAGTCAGGAGAACAGTAAAAGCTGGAGGCAATGTGAGAGTGATTGATTTTCTTCTTCCTTTCTTCCTGTTCTTCCTTCCTTCCTCTCTTTCTTCCTCTCTCTCTTCCTCTCTCTTTTTTCTTTCTCTCTTTCTCTCTCTCTCTCTTTCTTTTTTTTTTTTGTCGGTCATGGGGCTTGAACTCTGGGCCTGGGCGCTGTCCCTCAGCTCTCCAGCTCAAGGCGAGAGCTCTACCACTTGAGCTACAGCGCCACTTCCGGTTTTCTGGTGGTTTATTGGAGATAGGAGTCTCACGGTCTTTCCTGCCTGGGCTGGCTTTGAACCGCGATCCTCAGATCTCAGCCTCCTGAGTAGCTAGGATTACAGGCGTGAGCCACCAGCGCCCGGCTTCTCTCTTTCTTTCTTTCTCTCTTCCTTTCTATTTTTTTTGGTGCCAGTCTTGGCTTGAACTCAGAGCCTTTGTGCTGTCCCTGAGCTTTTTTGTTCAAGGCTAGCACTCTACCACTTGAGCCACAAGTCCACTTCTGGCCTTTTTTGGTGGCTAATTGGAAATAAGAGTCTCACAGACTTTCTTGCCTGGGGTGGTTTGAATTGTGATCCTCAGATCTGAGCCTCCTGAGTAGCTAGGATTACAGGCAAGAACCACTGGCACCTGGTATTAATTGCTATTCTTAAGCCAAGATGGTTGTAACTGTGTCTTTCTGTTGGGGGGTCTGTGTGGACAAAGGAAATTGGAAGCAATTTCTGCTGTCATCTGAATATGCCAGTGCATATTCAGAATTGCAGTAAGTGATTTTGAGAAGTTGAATGCATAATTGTCTGTGGGATGGTGGGTACAAGTTGTCTCTGTCATTTTCCTAGCTGAGAAAACAAGGTACACAAACATGAAGCATTTAATCATGAAAGCACGTTTGGATGAGCAGAAAACAGGATGTATTGTACTCAGAATAGAATCCCCTTTAAAAGTCAGTTTCATTACATACAAAAGAGGAACAGACCTGGAGGGAGATTATCATTGTTTTTAGAGAATAGAAACTACTCTGAGTTAAGTCCATTAGGCAACAAAAATGAGGACAAAATCAGAATAGGTTTTTTTTTGTGTGAACATACTGTGATAGAATAGGTTTTTATTTTTATTGTTTTGCCAGTCCTGGGGCTTGAACTCAGGGGCTGGGTTCTGTCTCTGAGCTTCTTTTATTCAAGGCTAGACTTGAATCTCAGCTCCATGTCTAGCTCTTTTGGTACTTTATTGGAGAGAAGAGTCTTACATAGACTTTCTTGCCTGGGTCTGCAATCCTCAGATCTTAGCCTCCTGAGTGAGGATGAACAAGTAAGAATTGTTTTTTTTTAAAAATTTAGACTATAAAGGAAATAAAGAATGACATAAATGCCAAGTAATTAGAGGTTGAAATTTCACCTGCAATCAGTGACAGACAAAGATGAACCTAGTAGGCCCAGCAAAGCCTGAGGAGGCTCTGAACTTAGAAATGAAAGCAGAGCCTGGCTCTGGTGGCTCAGACCTGTAATTCTAGCTACTCAGACGGTTGAGTCCATGAGACTCTTATCTCCAATTAACTGCCAAAAAAAAAATAAAAAATAAAAAGACAGAAGTGGAGCTGTGGCTCCCGTGGTAGAGGGCTAGCCTTGACCCCAGACCCTGAGTTCAAGACCCAAGACTGGCATCAAAAAAAAAAAAAGGAAGGAAGGAAGAAAAAGAAAGAAAAGAAATGAAAGCACAGTCACAGAACAATAACAATTATCCTGCAAGTCTCAAACACCATATTTTTAATGCTGGTATTGTGGTTTGAACTCAGGGCCTGTGCACTATCCCCACTATCCCTTACCTTTTTTTCCTCAAAGCTAGCTCCCTACCACATGAGCCACATCTCTACTTGTGGCTTTTTGCTGGTTAATTGAGATACCAAGAGTCTCATAAACTTTTCTGTCTGGGCTAGTTTTGACCCTCAGTCCTCAGATCTCAGCCTTTGAGATTATGAGTCTCATTTGAATTTCCTTCTATGTTACTATTCTCTTTTTGCCAGTCCTGGGGCCTGAGCTGTGGGTGCTGTCCCTGAGCTTTTGTGCTCAAGGCAAGCACTCTACCACTTGAGCCATAGCTCTACTTCTGACTCTTTGCTGGTTATTTGGAGGCAAGAGCCTCACAGACTTTCCTGCCCAGGCTGGCTTCAAATTGCAATCTTTGGATCTCAACCTACCGTGTAGCTACAATTACAGTTGTGAGCCACTGGCCTTTTATGTTACTGTTCTCAAGTGCATAGAATTAAGAAATCATAGACATTGTGCTTCCATTCACAATCAATGAAGTGGGCTATAACATATATACTTGTGCATTGAATCATATTCTCACTTAACATTGCTTTTGAGCCCTCTCTGATATCCACAAAATGTAACCTAATGGAGCTGGTGTGTGTGTGTGTGTTTTCCAGAAGATTTTGTGATTCAGGCAAAGGCCGACTGCTACTTCACCAATGGCACAGAAAAGGTGCAGTTCGTGGTCAGATTTATCTTCAACTTGGAGGAGTTTGTCCACTTTGACAGCGATGTGGGGATGTTCGTGGCCCTGACAGAACTGGGGGAGCCCGATGCTGAGCAGTGGAACAACCGGCCTGACATCCTGGCGCAGAGCCGAGCCTCTGTGGACCTAGTGTGCAGACAGAACTACAGGCTGGGGGCCCCCTTCACTGTGGGGCGGAAAGGTGAGGAGGAAGGCAGGGGTGGTCAAGATAATCTAATTATGAAGGAGTCATTTGGAAACTTTTTATAGGATCCCTAGAAGTGATTTTGTTGTTGTTGTTGTTGGTCATAGGGCTTGAACTCTGGGCCTGGGTACTGTCCCTCAGCTCTTCAGCTCAAGGCTAGCGCTCTACCACTTGAGCCACAACACCACTTCTGGTTTTCTGGTAGTTAATTGGAAATAAGTCTCATAGATTTTCCTGTCCAGGCTGGCTTTGAACTGCAATCTTCAGATCTCAGCCTCCTGAGTAGCTAGGATTACAGGTGTGAGCTACCAGCACCCAGCTATAAACAAGTTTATTATTTACTTATGTATTTGTGTATTTATTTTGTCTATCATGGGGCTTGAACTCAGGGCCAAGATATTGGCCCTGAGCTCTTTCCCTCAAGGCTAGCAATCTACCACTTTGAGCCACAGTGCCACTTTTGGTTTTCTAGTGATTAATTGGAGATAAGAGTCTCATGGATTTCCAGCCTGGGAACCATAATGCTCTGATCTCAGCATCCTGAGGGCTAGGATTACAAGCATGAGCCATCAGAACCTGGCCATTTTATTTTTCTTAATGTTCAGAAAGTTTACCAGGCTCTAGCTGGGCTTTGCTTGTTTGGGTTGAACTTCTGTAGATAGACTCTGCTCTGTCTGCTTCAGGACAAATGCGTTATAAATAGGAGAAGCTATGTGTATATTTTGTCCCCAACTGTGACTAACTTGTGATCCACACAGGTCAGGACCCTAGTCTTGGTCCTAGACCACATCAAGGGTCTCATGGCCTTTGAGAATGAGAGCATTGTCAACTAGAATGGGTGATTATGGGAAGGGCTGATAAAATCTGAATCCTCAAGCTGGGCGTCAGTGGCTCTCACCTATAATCCTAGCTACTCAGGAGGCTGAGATCTGAGGATTGTGATTCAAAGCCAGCCCAGGCAGGTAAGTCTGTGAGACTCTTATCTCCAATAAACCACCAGAAAATCAGAAGTGGTGCTGTGGCTCAAGTGGTAGAGCACTATCCTTGAGCTGAAGAGCTCAGGGACAGTGCCCAGGCCCAGAGTTCAAGCCCCACAACTGACAAAAACAAACAAAAACAAATTAAGTAATTGTACCAAGGGGTTTCACTTCAACAAGTCAAATAATGAGTACAATGTATCTTTTAAAAAATTTTTTTTATTGTAAAGATACTATACAGAACAATGTATCTTGATCAATGTCACCCTTTTCCATTGTTTTCTTCCATCCTTACTTGCTTGCAATTTTGGGAACTAGTGTCCTTTCATACTTGGTTCTTAGGATTTGAGGGGGGAGGGGACTGACATGAGACATGAGACTCAGCGACAAATGGGAAGCGACTCCATGGGTGTAAACACTGGTCTCAGAGATGCATTTCTAAATGCCGTTCTTCCTAAATAGCATTTGATTTGGCATTCGGCACAGGCTTTGAGATGTTATATGTGTCAAATATTTGGAGCTTTGTAATTACCTTTAAGACCTGTCTTTCATAGGAGTTCAGATCGAATATTGCTGGAGAAAGATGCTAGGTGGGATTGCAGCCTTTGTGCTTGGTGTAATCTTCTTCCTGGCGGGACTCATCATCCACCTCAGGGCTTGGAAAGGTAAGGAGCCTCCAGGAGACTCTGGCCACTTGCCCCCAGTCTTCCTCCACTTCCAGTTTCCCTCCTCCAGGGGGCGCCAGGAGAGTCTTTCCTGAAGCTCAACAGAGATGGAGTTCTGCCATTGCAGGCCATCCTCCATCCCTCAGGAACATGACAACACCATAACTGGGCCATTCCATTCACAACAACACCCTAACTGGGCCATTCCATTCTCTGTTCCTAGGATCTGCAGAGGCTCAGGCTGGCCATGAGGTAATGTCTCCTGCACTTTGTCTTTGGCTGCTAGATTCTTTCCCAGCCCTTTGGTGAGAAGGAGTGCAGGCAGAGGGTGCTGCTGGCTGGGCGGTGCTGTCTCCTGAGACTCTGAGCTGGGATGGGGGTGTGGCCTGGTGAGACTCCTCATCATTTGTCTCTGCAGGTCTCAAGAGCTCTTCTCCCTTCACAGCCCTACTGAGGCCCTAATGGAAGCTTTGACCTCGGAGTCTGACAGAGTGCCCACAGGCCCAGAGCCCCAGGTTAGGAAAAGGATATTGAAGAAGTCACTGTTCTGGAGAAGGCTTTTCCTTAGTCCTTGGAGTTGTGAACTGATCTAGGGTTGTGTGTCCCAAGACCATGCAGCCCCCACCCTCCTACCTGTGAACTTTCTAAGACCCCATTTCAAGATCCTGGCTGGAAATTTCCCTGAGACCTAACTCCTCCCAGCCCCCCTCGCTCTACCACAAGGTCTCCAAAACCCCACTTGCAGCTTCCAGACTTCAGAAGACAAATGATGAAGCAGAGACTACTTCATGTTTTTGGTCTTTTTCATAAAGTAAATCAATATACCCTTTTATTGTGAAATAAAATGGCTATTTATAGCCACTAAACAATAGAATAAAAGAACTCGTTTCTGTTATCTAATCATTCTCAGTGACAACATTACCCATGCTCCACCTCCCCTGTTGTTCTTATTAGCCTCTAGGAACCACAATTTGGCTCCCAAACTGCAAACTGTGAGCTTTTGCCCTTTCCTTCCCCGCCCCCGCCCCCTGTTTTTTGGTACGTGTGTATGGTATGGGGTTTGAATTCAGGGCCTTATGCTTATTAGGCAAGTGCTATACCACTTGGACCATAACCAAAGCCCTTTTGGCTTTAGTTTATTTTCCAGTATTGTGCTTTTTGGACCATGATCTTCCTACCTCTGCCTCCCATTGAGCTGGGTGACTAACTAGCATGCACTACTATACTGAGAGATTATCTACTCATTGACAAGTCATTTGATAATTTATTTTTTGTTGGTCATGGGGCCTGAACTCTGAGCCTGGGTGCTGTCACTCAGCTCTGCAGCTCAAGGCTAGCGCTCTACCATTTGAGACACAGCTCCACTTCCGACTTTTTTTGCTTATGTGGTGCTGAGGAATCGAATCCAGGGCCTCATGCGTGCAAGGAAAGCACTCTACCACTGAGCCACCTTCCCAGCCCCTCATTTGGTAATTTTTATAGGATCTCTGGAAGCTATTTTTTGTTGTTGTCATCTTTCAATGTTAAAAAAGTTTACCAGAATGTATTTTGGCTTTGGTTGTTTAGTTTTGAACTTTTCCACTTCTCTAGTAAGCCATTTTCTTTTTCAATATATAGTACAAATCACTTTTTTTTTAATTTCAGGAATGTTTGTGGTCCCACCCCGACTCTCATTTCTGGTACTAGGGTTTGATATCAGGGCCTCATCTTTGCTAGGCAGCCTTGAGCCATATCCCCATTCCTTTTGCTTTCTACGCTTTTCAGATAGGTTCTCCTGCTAATTGCTCAGCTGACCTCAAACTGTGATCCTCCGACTTCTGCCTCTCAACTAGCTAGGAGTCGCGAGGCATGGTTCATCACCATGCCCAGCTGAGATTTATTTTCATCTTTGCTTTGGTTTTCCCTTTCCAGGGATTCTAGTCATTCCCATTTTAATTTACTTTTGTGTGTCTTTAATGTTTACTATTTTCTCGTGAATTTTGTATTTTTCCATTTATTTAAAAATATTTTATTAGCATTTATTAGTTACTCAAGGAGGTTTTGTTGTGATTTTTCTATACATGCATACAATATATTCTGATCCAATTAATCTGCTTTATCAATCCCACTTCACTCTTTTTAAAGCAATTCAGGCTTCATTGTTCTAATTACATACATGTAATTTCTTTCGCACTTTAGCTCCTGTCATTCTTTTTTAGGTGTGTGTGTGTGTGTGTGTGTGTGTGTGTGTGTGTGTGTGTGTGTGTGTATTAATTGTATAAAAAATGTAAAGGAGTTTCAAGAGATATTTCACATATCCATATATTGTCCCTTTTATTTTTGACAGTCCTGGGGCTTGAACTCAGGGCCTGGGCACTGTCCCTGAGCTGCTTGTGCTCAAGGCTAGACCTCTTACCACTTGAGCCACAATGCTACTTCTGGCTTTTTCTGTTTATGTGGTACTGAGGAATCGAACCCAGTGCTCCATGCATGCTAGGCAAGCACTCTACCACTAAGCCATATTCCCAGCTGTCTTTTCCATTTTAAAACTTGATTACTTTTTCACATTCTGTCTTTGGGTTGAAGTCTTTCCATCAGCCATCTTGCTTCATCAGAGGGTTCTTTAGTTTCATGGCTGTCCCAGGAAGGGTGGTGACACCTTAGGTTTCTGTCCCAGATTGTGTTGGGGAAGAGGGAGGTACATGGTAGAGAGTGGGTGGCAGGTCTTCTGTGGGTGGAGTTTTGTTCACGAAGATCTCATAACATTTGATTTTTGTTTTTAGATGATGCTGATGATGCTCATGATGATGATAATTATTTTGGTGCCAATTATGTTGGGGCTTGAATTCAGGGTCTGGGTGCTGTCCCTGAGCTTTTTGGCTCAAGACTTGCTCTCTACTGTTTGAGCCAGAGCTCCACTTCCAACTTTTGGAGATGAGAGTCTCATGAGTTTTCCTGCCTGGGCTGATTTTGAACAGCCATCCTCAGATCTCAGCCTCTCGAGTAGCTAGGCTTAAAGCTCCCCTCCTCCCAGCCCTTTTGCCATTGGCCCCTGACAACCTTCTTAATAAACTAGAGATGAGCTGGAAGAAGCCTAGCTGTTTACACGATGGTGAGGAATCATCATAACCATGGGATAAAATTCCTGTTAGAAAAAGTTTGGAAACCCAAACTGTCCGTGTACCTTAGGAGTGGCGTGTTTACCTGATATGCGCAAGGCTTTGGGTTCCATCACCAGCGTGGGAGGAAAATAAAATCCCAAACAAGACACAAACAAAAAGTGAAATAAAACCAACCTTAACAACCAGACAAGAAGACACAAGGAAAAGTTCAGAAACTTGAACCTTTCCAGCTGTGCCACCACCAGATGGCGAGAGAGACTAAATGAATGCTGGTGTCCCTCAGATGAAGAGGAACCTTCCCCAGGCCTCCTGATTCCTCCCTTTCTCTCATCACCCCAACCTATGAGACACAGAGGGGCAGTGGAGGTCGATATGAGGGACTGTGTAGCTCTCCAGATCAGCCAGGAAGTCCTTCTTTGTCCTGTGGAGGAGGTGCTGGAAGTCATCTAGATCAACCCTGCACATTTCGTAGATTATCTGTGGGCCGAGAGCCTCAAAAGGGCTTATATACCTTATACAGATGGCTTCATATCAAAATAAAGTCTGCACAGGTTTTATTCTGTGTTAGAGATTTAAGCAGAGGCTTCTGCATATTTAACATGTGCTATATCTCTTCTCTCATGTACTGTATGTATGTATGTATTTATTTTGTGCTGGTATTGGGGCTTGAACTCAGGGCTTCATACCCTCCCTTAGGTTTTTCCCCCCGAGGTTGGTGCTAGTCTACCCCTTGAGCCACAGCTCCATTATTCCACATCTACCTATCACCTGGATGAACTATTATTTTTAATTCCTGGACTTTGGACTTATGTAGCAAGGGTTTGAATCCTAAAGATGGTTGCTTTGGAGCTCTGAAATTTATTACATCTTAGTATAATACTCAACGAGTTTACTAAACACTTATCAAGGATGAGGACCCATCATAGGTACCAAAGACCCAGCAGTTGAAAAAAACACCAAACATTGATTTTTATGATCCTTAATTGAGATAGTATACTTGAAGTGCTACTGTGCCAGGAAAAAAGGTTTGGTGTGTAGTAACGTGACCTTTCCTCCACTTGTCCTGTGACAATCAGCAGGTGTTATTTGGGCTTTTCCATTTTCACCTCCACCACCACTCATACTAATGCAAAGCTATCAGGAACAGTCTAGATCATTTCCTTCTCTAAAAACTGACCAGGGACTTCCCACGGATGCATGAAAGGATTAGGTACCCTCCCCTCCCCTAGCCAAATACTTAGGTCCTTACTCTGCACTCTGCTGCTTTGCAATGGTGAAACATGTTTTCTTGGCTTTCCGCGGGACCTATCTTATTTCTTTCCATAAAACTAGGTTGTCTGCCATTCCACTCACTGCTGATCAGACGTCCCGCTGGCGAAACGGTTTCCACTCAAAGACCTGGGCTCAGACCAGAACGTCTTAGCAGTTGTTTCTGCTAGAGACAAGTGATGCTACTCTGCTCTCTATTCCTATTGGTTGAAATGTTGAAAAAAATGTTGGGGATTTCCAACAATGTTTTTCTGTCTTAAAATGCGTCAGTGCAAAAAAGTTGGAATGCCTTTGTAAGCAGGAATTAGGATGAACTGAGATTGATGAGGCAGATTCTGCGTTTTCAGGATGAGTCTAGCGGCCCCGCCTCTGGAAAAAGGAAAGAAGTGTTTCTTCTAAAAAGATTCATTCTTCTTTCCCTTTTCCTAGAATGAGATTTTATAGTACAAATATGAGAATATTAGTGCTGAGTAAATCCAAGCTCTCCTTTCTTTCTTTTTCTTTTAATAATTTTTTATTGAGAGTAAGTGATTAGATAAGTTCACAAACCACAGACTTGTGGGATAGTGATACTTAGATAAAGTCACAAACACATTTTAACCTTCACTAGGCACCTTCATTGTCATTATCATGGTCTATAAAGCTTATGGACTCCACAAACTTTGGCACTACAGTTATTTCTTGGTTAATATGTACATTTCTTTCCTTTTACTCAGTATAAACTATTCCCGCTATCCCTCTCATTCCCTCCCTCCCCTCGCTGCCCTTGAGTTGCTCAGTTCATCAGTGTAGCTGATGGGCCCCTCTGTGTATTTTCCCCCTGTTTTTCTCTGATTCTGTGCCTCCCTCCTAGCTTCCCTCAGATGTGCACATGTAAATACCATATTTGAGATCAAGAACATGGAGTCATCTAGGAATGATATGACAAATGTAGAGGTCCTTTGCGGCTTGAATCCTGTTTACTTTGTCATATCTCCTTGCACTTTGAATTTAACATCCACATATCAGGGAGACCTCCATTTTTCTCTCTGAGCTTGACTTATCTCACTCAACATGCTCTAGTTCCATCCATTTCCCTGAGAATGCCATTATTTTGTCCTTTCTAATGGCTGAATAATATTCCATTGTATATAGGTACCACAATTTTTGGATCCATTCATCTGTAGTGGGGCATCTGGGTTTTTTCCATATCTTGGCTATTGTGAACGTGCATCCAGCTCTCCTTTCTAATGAACACTCCCTCCCCGCCTTTTTTTGTGCTAGTTCTGGGGCTTGAACTCAAGACTTGGGTGCTGTCCTTTAGCTTTTTTCCACTCAAGACTGGCACACAATCCCTTGACACAGCTACACTTTCAGCTTCTTGGTGGTTAATTAG